CTTTAAGCAGAGAAAAGAAAAGGGGGAAGGAGAAGCCATGTAACCATGAACTATATACACATCTTGGGAAGAGTGTCCAAGCAGAAGGAGGAACGGTGAGGGCAGAGGCCCTGAGGTGGAATAATGCCTGGAGTGTTTGGAGAGAATACACCAGTGGAGAAGCCTGGAGAGATTGGCAGGGCAGGAATTATACCCATGAGCCAAAGCGGGAAACTGTGGCCCAGAGGAAAGCAGGGCTGCTGAGGGCCCACAATGAGATCAATCTGACTCAATCCCCATGGCTTTTCCCTACCCTGTGCTGTGTTTCTGGGGGAATAGGAGGACTAGAAGACCACCGTATGCCCCAGAGAGAATATGCAACATCCTTGGGGAAGCCTGGCAAGTGGCGATGGTGCTGGCCTCTGGGGTCCCTGCCTCTGAACAATCAGCCTGATGCAGGGACTTCAGTCTGTCCTACTAACAGCCAGAACATGTTATAACCCAAGCCAGGCCATGACCTACGTCTGCTCAGAACGCCGGTGTGGCTCCATCTCTCTTAGAGAAAAAGCTTAAGTTGCCACTGTGTCCTGTGAGGCCCTATAGGTATAGGACCAGGTACCTGTCAGCTCTCTGACCTTACCTCCTGCTACTGGTCCCCTTGCTCACTCGTCTCCCATCACACCAGACTTCTAACTTGTCCTTAAATGTGCCACTCAGATGGGCGTAGAAACTGCTGTGGTGGGCCTCCCTGGTGGCACAAGGGGTTAAGCACTGCACTATGAAGCAATCTGCAGCCTCTGCAGCATGAGTTCGATCCCTGGCCGGCCAGGGAGAAACCCACATGGTGAGGCAGACCTCTCCCGTCTCACCCACTGCTCTCCTCAGCAGTCAATCTGCCTGTTCTGTTTCCCACTCTCTCTCTGGTGGATCCTCTCACCCCCCGCATCTCTGGCCTGTGCCCCAGCTCTTGTATGTATAAATAAATCTTTAAAAAAAAAAGTGCTGTGATGACACAAACTAAGCCATAGCCACATCTGGACTCATACTATGGGTAGATGCTCCTGGGGTCACACTGGCTGGACAGGGTGTTTCTGTGGTCAAATCTATGAAACCCACCTGGGATCAGAGACAAAAGAAAGGACACGTTTGTGGTCACACAAACTGGAGTGTTGGACAACTTTGCTTACACTGCTGCGGATGTGGACATCCCCAGCACTACCACACTTGTCAAATACTCCTGGGGTCACTCAGAATGGGGTGTTCCCATGGTCATACTGCCTTGGTTGAGAAGACTCCTGGGTTAACATGCTGTGGGGAGGCAAACCCAGGGCTAGAGTTGGTATGGACACTCATAGGGTCACTACCAGGTAGAGGAACACCGAGTGTCACAGACTGGGATGTGGGTGGTCCTGCCACCAGACTGGAGTGTGGATAAAGCAACTTGAGCTGCGAAAGATGGGGGAGTAAGCAGCAGAAGACAGTTATGACCATGTGACTAGTGAGTTTGCCAGCTTTGGCTGCTAAATTGTGTAATTAAGATTGTAGTTAGGCAGATTTTTCTGACATTTCTTCAAGAGTTTTTTTTTTAAAAGATTTATTTATTTTTTTTATTTTTAAATAATAAATTTTATTTTTATATTCCCCATACAATTGCAACCCCCCCATTCTGACCCCAATCCCTCCCCTCCCGCCCCCCACCCCCCAAAAAGTGTCTCTGGTTCATAGTTTTTTGTTGATTTTGATTTTCACTTTCTTATAGTTATTCATTTTCCTGGTCCCTTATTTAAGTTTCTAGATTCCTGCTATGAGTGAGACCATCCGGTATTTTTCTTTTTCTTTTTGGCTTATTTCGCTGAGCATGATCCCTTCCAGTGCCATCCATGTTGCTGCAAATTGCATGTGTTTATCTTTTTTGAATGCTGAGTAATATTCCATGGTGTATATGGACCACATCTTCTTGATGCAGTCATCTATTTTTGGGCATTTGGGCTGTTTCCAAAGCTTAGCTATTGTAAACAGTGCTGTTATAAACATAGGGGTGCAGGTGCTCTTTGGAATGGATGTTTCTGTGTCCTTTGGGTAAATACCTAGGAGTGGAATTGCTGGATCATATGGAAGCTCTATGTTTAGTAGGTCCAGAAATCTCCACACAGCTCTCCATAGTGGTTGGACCAGTTTGCACTCCCACCAACAGTGCAGAAGAGTTCCTTTTTCTCCACATCCTCGCCAACATTTGTTGTTGCTAGTTTTTTTAATATGTGCCATTCTCACTGGTGTAAGATGGTATCTCATGGTAGTTTTGATTTGCATTTCCCTGATTACAAGTGATGTTGAACATTTTTTCATATGCCTGTTGGCCATTTGCATTTCCTCTTCAGAGAAGTTTCTTTTTAGCTCTTCTGCCCATTTTTTGACTGGATTATTTTCTTTGTCGTTGTTGAGTCTCATCAGCTCTTTGCAGATTTTTGTGATCAGTGCAAAAATGTTCTCCCAGTTGGTGGGGTTTCTCTTTGTTTTGGTTATTGTCTCTTTTGCTGTGCAGAAGCTCTTTAATCTGATGTAGTCCCAGCTGTTTATCTTTGCCTTCACTATCACTGCTTTGTGTGATGTGTCTGTAAAGATGTCTTTGAGGTGCATGTCATGTAGTGTTTCGCCTATATTTCCTTCTATGTATTTTACGGTTTCAGGTCTTATGTCTAGTTCCTTAATCCATTTTGAGTTGATTTTTGTGTATGGTGTGAGGTAGTGGTCAAGCTTCATTCTTTTGCATGTAGCGACCCAGTTTTCCCAGCACCATTTATTGAACAAACTTTCTTTGCTCCAATGCATAGTCTTTGCTCCTTTGTCAAAGATTAGTTGACCATAAATAAAGATTTATTTATTTATTTTATACAAGATCTGGGGTACAGGCCAGAAGCTCGGGAGGGTGAGAGGATTCACCAGAGCTAGAGCGGGGAACAGAACAAGGCAGACTGACGAAATACACTGCTGAGGGGAGCAGCGAGTGAGACAGAAGAGGTCTGCCGTGCCATGTGGGACCCTCGCTGGCCGGCCGGGATCGAACCCGCGCTGCAGAGGCTGCGGACCGGTTCACAGCGCGGCGCTCAACCGCCCGCGCCACCAGGGGAGGCCTTCTTTAAGAGTTCTTAACATGAGGCCTCCCTGGTGGCACAGGGGTTAAAGTCTCAGCGCGCAGGGCCTCCCCGGTGGCGCAGTGGTTGAGCGCTGGGCTGTGAAGCTGCCCGCAGCCTCTGCAGCGCCAGTTCGATCCTGGCCACCAGCGAGGGTCCCACATGGCGCGACAGACCTCTCCTGCTGCGCCTGCTGCTCCCCTCAGCAGTGTATTTCGTCAGTCTGCCTTGTTCTGCTCCCTGCTCTGGCTCTGGTGAATTTTCTCACCCTCCCGAGCTTCTGACTGTGCCCAGTGCTTGTATAAATAAATAAATAAATAATTAAAAAAAAATTCTCAGCGCTATCAAGCTATTGCCAGCCCCCACGGCATGAGTTCAATTCCAGGCCAGGGAGCTGCCCAACATGGCACAGCAGACCTTTCCTGTCTTGCCCACTGCACCCATCAGCAGTGTATTTCAGTAGACCTGCCTGCTCCCCACTCTGTCTCCAGTGAATCCTTTCACACACACAGCTTCCTGTCCCTCTGGCCTACACCCAGATTCTTGTATGCATAAATAAATAAAATCTTTTTAAAAAAAAAGTATGTGCATGTGCAGATCCTGAAACACAAAGGATTACTATGGAAACAACTGAACACTATGGAGGTTCCTCAAAAAGTAATCAGAACTACCATATGATGTGGCAATCTGAGTATTTATCCAAAAGAAATTGAATCACTATCTTGAAGAGAGACCTGCAATCCTATGTTCACTGCAGTGTTATTCACAGTAGCTAAGATATGGAAACCACATTGGTGTCTGAATGAATGGATAAAGAAAACACGGTATGGGGGCCTCCCCGGTGGCGGAGCAGTTGAGAGCTGGGTTGTGAAGCTGCCCGCAGCCTCTGCAGCGTTGGTTTGATCCCCGGCCGCCCCAGGTGAGGATCCCATATGGCGCGCAGACCTCTCCTGTCGCCCGCTGCTCCCCTCAGCAGTGTGCTTCGGTCCTTCTGCCTGCTCTGCTCCCTGCTCTGGCTCTGGTGAATTCTCTCACCCTCCCGCACTTCTGACTGTACCCAGTACTTGTATAAATAAATAAATAAATCTTTAAAAAAAAAAAAAAAAACACGGTATGCAGTCACGCATTGCTTAATGATGGGGATACATTCTAAGGAATGTATTGTCAGGTGCTTTTGATGTTGTGCAAACTTCAGAGTTTTATAAACCTAGATGGCATAGCCTACCGCACACCAAGTCTGTCTCTAGGGACCACACCCCTACATGCAGTCTGTCGTTGACGAAGCATCGTTAAGTGACCCATGACTGTATAGACACAATGGAGTATTATTAAGCGTAGGAAGTCCTGTCACTTGTGACAAAAGATGGACCTTGAGGACATTATGCTAAGAGAAATAAGTCAAATACTGTATGATCTCACTAGTATGTGGACTCTAAAAAACTGATCTCAGAGAAACAGGAAACAGATTGGTGGCTGCCAAAGGAGGGGGTTGGAGGGTGGGCAAAATGGATGAAGGGGGGGTCAAAAGCTACACACTTCCAGTTGTAAGTAAGTTCTGGGGATGTGACAGACATCATGTGACTATGGTGATCAGTTCTGTATTGTGCATGTGAAAGTTGCTCAAAGAGCACATCTTCAAAGTTCCTATCATAAGAAATAAAAAGTTTCATAACTAACACCAGGTGATGGATGTTAACGAAACCTATTGTGGTGATTATTTTGCAGTATGTACCAGCAAAACACTGAATCCAATACTGTATTGGATAAAATACTGTATCCAACATACTGTATCCAATCAGTATGTTGTACACTTTAAGCTTATACAATTGTATCCTAATAAGGTTGGAGAAATAAGACTATATGTATTAAAATAAAACAATACTGGGATGCAATAATATACTTTTTAATTAGTTGATCAAATTATAAGATCTCCTATGACTCAAAATAGTGATGAATGTGAACAATATCTCAAGATGCCTGCAAAAACTGTAATCTAACATAAAAAGTAACTGTGACTTGTACTGGTGGGAAGGTCACAGGCATTGCTTTCACTACTGTGATTTGCTGCCAGCATTCATATTTGGAAGTAAAGCTAATTTCAGTTATATTAGTGAAAATAAAGATGTAATATTTTCCTCCATCAAGTTCATGGATACCCTGACTTTTATCCAGGTTAAAAACCCCTGCTTTTGGGGTAAATTCTGTACAAAATCAGGACACCCCTGGAAAGGTTTGCAGAAGAGGCAAGGAAGGCATCACTCAAGAATTCTCTCTGCTGTGCAGACATTCATTCGGTAAGGTTTCTTTCCTTGCTGTTTCTGTGGTGGTTGCAGGTTCCCGCACAGGGCTTGTATGTTCAGGACCCATTGATGAGATATTTGGAAACAACTTCATCAACGCAAGTTCTGGTTTTCCTGAAAGTAAACAGCTTCTGAGTTGTATCAGTTTGTCGGTTAGCTGGAGGTTAAAAAAAAAATAAAAAAAAACTTTCTCACATTCACTCAGCTACTAACATCTTTGTGAAGTTTCCCTAATTTTATCGTGAACCATAACATATAGAAAAATGCATAAAACACATGTACATTGAGTTTAATGAGTAACAAGAAGGCGCTGCTTTGTATGACTGCAGGACGTCCATTCTCACTGCTGTGCAGTTCTTTGCTGCACGAATGGATTACGATTTAATGGCCTATCTACAGTGGATGGATGTTTGGATTGTTTCGAGTCTGGGAGTACTATAAAAGGTACGGGCTAGAATGTTCTAGTTTTTTAGAAGGGGAATAGGCATACATGAAACTTTAATAGATAATGCCCAACAATTTTCCACAGGGGCCACACTATTTCATGCTGCCATAAAACGGGGGTTCTCATAGCTGCATATCCTCCCCAATACTTAGTAAGAGCTTGCATTTTCCTGATGGGCAGCTCTTCATGTGCTCATTGGTGAGTCTCATATTTTCTCTTCCTTTTTGATTTATAGCTTTTTAAAATCAAGATTACTGTGTATAGGGATTATAAATATCTTTGTCTGCTGTAATTCACCATTTCACTTTTTAAGGTGTCTTTTTTTTATTTTCTAAATGGAAGACCTGTCAGAAAAGGTCCTCCTGCCAATGAGGAGCCCTCCCTCCAGTCCTGACAGGTTTTAGTTTGCTCTGCTACAGGCAAACCAGACCCTCTCTGCGTCCTCACACACCAGGTGCAGTTCCACCTCAGGGCCTTTGCACTTGCTATTTCCTCTCCCTGAAATGCTCTACCCTTAGATAAACACATGGATTCCCTCACCTCCTTCAGGTCTCTGCTCAGACATTACCTCAATGAGGCCCTCCATGACAACCATTTTACAAACCACAAACCACCATTCCCAGAATTCATGATTCTCTTTACCTCTGCTTTATTTTTATTTCTTTTTCAGTTTTAAAATTATGTTTCCTGAGGTCACATTGATTGACAACATTATATACCAGGGGTATGGGTTCACCCCTCTGCAAATGTATGCTCTTGCTGCTTTATTTTTCATCTTTCCTATCCTCTACTACTTTTCTATATATTACATGTAAAACATTGTGTGGAAATAGACATACATATTATAATGTAAGCTATATAAATAAAGTGAAATACATGTATACACAGTATGTATGTGTGGAAATTCCTGGATTCACACTCTATTATTGTTTATTACTTGTTTCCCAAACAAGCAACTCTATGGACGCTGGGATATTTGTCTGTTTTATTCCCTGATCTAGCTTCAAACCTAGAACAATGCCCAGCATATGTGCTCAATGGTTGTTTACTAAATGCCTCAATAAGTAAACTGTAAAATACTTAAAGCAGTTCTTAGCATACAACATCAGAATCCTATGTAGTAAGGTTTGTTGATTGAATCTTATCAGTTAACATAAAAATTCCAAAGGTGAAATTTTACAGCGATTTTTCTTAAGGGTGCCCATTACTCAAAATTCTTAGATAAAAAGGCAAATTTACCGTAATATATTAAGGTGAACAATTCATTTCATGGTCTTCCACCTACTTGAGAAAAAGAAAAGAGTCTCAGACACATGGCTAAACCTCTCTCTCCATTCATCACACTTGGTTTTACCCATTGGTTTTTACAGCTATTTTGAGGCCGGGAGCATTTTGGCCCCAGAAACCTAGTGATTTGGGGGAAGAGGCACACTGGGAGGGGGTTAGTGTGATTCAGAGAAAAGGCAGCGAGGCTACTGGGTTTCCAGACCTCAGAGGTCAGCAGGGTATGGCGTGGTGGGGAGGTCAGAGACTGGGTCACTGTGTCCACTGTGCTGATGGGGCAGTCCTGAGGGCGGATCTCCTTAGCCAGTCGCCCCTTCTTCTTCAACGTGCAGGCTTCCTGGTATGGTGGGGAGATGGGGGGCTGCGTGGGTGGAGTGTACTTGTACTCTGAGCCGTCCTCCAGCTGCAGAGACACACGAGGGGAAGATGGTGAGGACCTGAGAACCTAGGACAGTGCCATCCCACCCCCCACTGTTGGCCAGGTACTCACGTCCAGTGGGTAACTGCGGTCTGAATCATAGGAGCTCAGGTCCCCACAGGTGACAAATGGCACAATGATGCGAGTAGGACCATCTAATTGGTTGAAATCTGGATCTGACAAGCAGGGAGAAATAAGACAGGACAGGGCCAGCATGCCCGGAACCAGTCAGGAGGCTGCAGCATGGGTGGCAAGGCCTTGCTGGGTGTCCACCAGCCACTCTCACTATTCCACAGGAAATCTTTCACTTGGCTTCAATCGCTTCCTCAGGGAGATCCTCCATGATCACCCCTTTGAAAACACTGTTCCCCACACACTTTTTTCACACTGCCCTTACATCCACCGGCCTTTCTATCATTTGCTGCCTGGCCCTTGTCTCACTCAAGTGTGCTCACAGTAAGAGCCAGCTCTTTGCCTTTTTTCACTAGGGGCCAGACTGAAGACCCTCACTGGGCAAAATTCCCAAACAGGTTTCCACCAGGGGGCACAAGAGAGCCCACCTAGGCTAGAACTCATTCAGGCAGGTAGTCTTCACTGGGCAAAATCCTCCTGAGACAGAATTCTCACCAGGTCCAAGAATTACCACTAAGGGACTGAGCTGAAGATTCTCCTGGGACGAAAGATCCATAAGGGGGTATAATTTCCATCAGAGGGCAGGACTGAGGATCTTCTTGAAACTGAGTTCCCATAAGGGGCAGAGTGTCCACCAGGGATAGGGGCTGCAAACCCTCCTGAGACAAAGTCCAGAAGTGGGTAAAGTCTTCCCAGGAATAGGGCCCAGACTCTCACCGTAAGAATGGTCTAGGAGGGGTTTTAGTCAGGTCCGGCAGGAAGCCCGCAGGGGGGTCATAACCCTGACACACAGCAAAGGCCTCTGTGGGTAGAACACACAGTGAGGGGAGACTGCCGCTTCTGCCACAGGTAGGACAGGGCTCTAAGAACTGCATTTGCTCATGTGGCCCCTCCACTCCGCTCACCTATACTAGAGTTCCGGCTGCTTCTGGGCTTGGCACAGAGCACGCTGGAGAAGAAGACACGGAGTTGGCTGTAGATCAGTGTCACATCCCGACCTCGGAAGATCTGCAGGGTGGCCGGACAGATGGAGGTGTGAGGGCAGTCTGTGAGACCCCTCTCTAACCCTCCACCAGGCTTCCTAAGGCTTACCTTGGCCACAAAGCAGCCCCCTGGCTTCAAGACATGTGTAGCAATGTTCAGAGCCTGTGGGCAGGACAGATGGCTAAGACTGAGGTGGAGACAGCCAGGAGGGGGCCAAACTGAAGCAGGGGCAGCCAGGTTTACTCACAGCTAGGAGGAGCTGGGCCTGCATATACTCATCAACATCATGGAGGCCAGTTACTGCAGCAAGAGAACAGCATTAGTGGGGGTGCATCTGTTCTAGCTCTCTTCTTGTCCCAGAGAGGTCAGAAGACTAAGACCATGTCCCAGGCTGCTAAGGTTACTCATATAAATTAACATCTGCCAAAAGGATGCATATTCTGTGCTCCCAACCCTCAGGAATTCAATTTAATTCTCAAAACAACTGTATATATGTATAGGAACTCATTTCAATTCTCAAACATGTCAGAAGCATCATTTCCACTTCCAGCCTAGACTGCTCCTCCAACTCTATTCAAAATCTTAGACTCCACGTGTCTCAAATCAAACTCCTGACCTTCCTGTTTGGAGGAACAGGTTTGGACCTGTTCCTCCCACCATCTTCTCCAGGTCACCTGATCCATCCAGGTCTCAGGCCAAAAATCTTTGATGTTACCTTTGATGTTCATCCCCCACCCCAGCTCATTTTCTACTTACACCCACACTCAAGCTGTTAGCAAATTCCGTCTGTTCCATTTGCAAAAGAGTGCCTGACTTAGCCTCTTCTCAGGTCCCCGCGGCCACGTGCCTGGACTACGGCAGAGTTCTCCTTCCCGGCCCCGTTCCCCTTGCAAGCCCCCCACTGCTCACAGCAGCCAGAGGGATCTTGTCACAATCTGAGTCCGGCCAGGCCCTCTTCTGCTCACAACTTCCTCAGGGTTTTTCTCCTTGGAAAAAGCCCAAGTCCTCACTGGATCACACAGGATCTACACCCCTGCCCCCTGCCCTGGTCAGCTCGCAGGACTCACCTACCATTCCCCGACTTACTCTGCTCTGAACACACACTCATCTCCCTGGTGGTCCTCACACATGCCAAGCACCCTCCGACCTCAAGGCCTCTGCCGGAGCCAGTCTTTTTGCCTGGATTATCCTTCCTCCAGACATGCCCCTGCCCTACTTCCTCACCTCCTTTAGATCCTTGCTCTAAAGTCAGTGAGCCCCAGCCCATTCACTTTAAAATTCCACCAAGTATTCTCCTTGCCCTCCCCTTTCCATGGACTTCCTCAAGGTACCTATCACCTTTTGGCATTCTAGAGAGTTCTTTTCTATCTGCTCCCATGTTCCACGAGGTCAGAGATTAGTGGAATTTTAGTCATAAATGTTTTCCCAGCATGTAACAGTGCCTGACGCACAATAGTTGCTTGGTAAAGGTGCACTGAACTGATGTGACTGACTGAAAAAACAAACACAGTAAGATGGAATTGGACAAATGCAGCGAGAAGAGAGCTGAGAAGAGGGAAGGGTGGACAAATGCACAAAAAATAGTACAGTGTGGGGAGGAAAAGACAGAGGCAGAGAACAAGCAGTAGAGGTGGGGAGAAGTTGCCAGATGTGGGGGAACAGTAACGCTAGAGGGGAGAGGCAGGGAGGAGTTAAGTGGTGAAAGAAGTGGTGGGAGATGCAGAGAGGGATACACACAAAGCTCCCCACCTGGCTTCCCAATCCCTGCTATTTACCATCAGGAGCCCCGTCACACACCACTAGGTCCGCGGGGCAGCCCTCAAAGTGCTGAATGATCTCCTTGGCCGTGGAGAGCTGTGGAAGAGAGGGAGGAGGAGTGGCCCAAGCCCTGCCTCTCTAGTTCCTATAATGCTACCTGCCCGGGACCTGGTCTGCGCCCCCAGGTCAGTGAAATTCTCAGGCTTTATCTATCTGCGACCGGGCTCCTCTGCCACCCAACCCACCATTTTTTTGCTGGCTCTCTGTGATGACAACCTGCTGGTACATCGCCACTATCACACTGCCTTTTGGGCTCTCTCAGTTACTGCCTCTATTTCTGTCCATGTGTCTTCTCAGCTTATTTCTGTCTTTCTCTCTACTTTTTGTAGCCTTCAGGTGTGTGTGTGTGGGGGGATTCTTTGCCCAGGATACACTCCAACACCTCCAGTCATGCACTCACCTGAGTAATGTCCCCCTGGATCTGTAACACACCTGGTAGCGGAGCCATAGCCTGAAGGTCCACAGCCACCACGTGGCCAGACCCCTGACCCCTGTAGATAACATAGCCCATGTCAGCCCAGTGTCTACTCTTGGCCTACCCTCCACCTACACTGCCCTCCCAGAACCCTCCTCATCCGGGTCACCACACTCACCCAATTTTCTGGCTCAGCACCTGGCTCCAGCTACCGGGGGCTGCACACAGGTCGACTGCCCGTGAAACTCCTGAGCATACACAGGAAGGTGTAGTGGTCAGTTGGATCCACTTCATCAACCCAGGGACCCTGTATAACTCACCCCTCTCTCCTGGTGAACACCTACCATCTTTCCACTGCCCAGGTGCCCCAATTCCTCTTGAGTATATGCCCATCTTCCTGCCTGGCCCCTGTCCCACAGACCCTCCAAGTCAGCCCAACTACCGCAGGGAGCTCTGCGGACCTAGCCCACTAGTCTATTCCTTTGCTTGCCCCACCCCTTTCCCCCACAGTGACTCCCCACCATCCCCACCAGGTGGGGACCTTTGAAGAGTTGGAATTCCTCGTCGAGCTGTAGCAGCTTGAAGGCACTACGGGCACGCCAGCCATTCTCCTTGGCCAGGCGGTAGTAGACATCCCGCTTGTCCTTCGATGTCCGTCCCATCTCACACACAGTTTGCTCAGGGATCTGCCAACAGTAAGCTGACGTCGCTCTGTGTCAGTAACTGGGTGAGGGGCCACCAGCCTCTTCAGGGTAGTGACAACCACACAAGCTGGACCGGGCTCATCTGACCCACATGACAGCACACTCAGCAGACAGGAAGACTGAAGTCTAGTCACTGGGCCACAGAGCCTGAAGGGTCCCATCACCGAGCTCTCAGGCTCCATCACTCACCCTCCAGGTTCCCCCCAGACTCCCCCACGACCCAGTCCACAAATCCCATCTCTAACTCCAAGATACTCCCAAGGATCCCAACAACCCTATGCTCATCTCCTAAATGACCTGTTACTGACCCCATTATCTCCCATCGCTGTCACCCTCATTCCACATATAAGACCCAGCTACTCTCACTATTAACCCTTCTCTGCCCATCTCATCCCCATGAACATCTGTCTCCCCACCTGTCCTCATTGCCTCCAGACTCATATAACCCTATTAGCCCCCCATTAATCCCTTTCATTCACCTCCATTATCCTAATACTACCTCACTGCATTCCCCAACTACTTAATCTCTCCCCACCCATTCCCCACTAATTCTAGAAATGGTTTGCTCCCCAGTAATTCCTTTATTACTACATTCTTATCAATCCTCATTAATGCCTGGAGGATATGGCCTATTTACCCATTAAGCTCTCAATTAGTATGATTTCTCAACCTTCATTAACTCAGTCCTCCCAATGATCCTGTACAGATCACAACATTAACCAGTCCCCTGTAACCTCTCATTACAAGTTAATCTCTGATGATCACATATCTGTTCCCCATTCTCCCTTCACTGCCCACCTTGTTCCCCCAATAGTCACTCAATGAGCCCATCCCAACAGCTTATTATTACCCTGTCTTTGCTTGCTGTTCCCATTAATTTCTTAATGACTGTGCTATGATCGATCACCCACTAAAAAACCCTTTGACTACAACGCCCCTTCACCCTCTCGTTATTTCTTCTTTGATCACTGCCCCCATTAGTTCCTTGATCATGACCGTTACCGGCCTCTACAACTCTCTCCATAGCCTTAGCTTTTTGATTATTAACTATGTCCCACTACTCTTCATTAACGGGTTAATTATTATACCTCCATTAATCGCTCAGAGATCACACCCCCTTGTACTTCTCACCGTCTTCTAGCTGCCCTCTCGACCATCCTCTCATTAATCGGTGAACACACCCCCACCGGCCCCCACGAACATGTTCACTACAACGCTCCCATTAGCTCCCACTGCTTGCCGGATAACATCCCTACCAGACCTCCACGATTCTAATGGAGACCACCAACCCCCCTATTAATAGCCTTCTGGCCACCTCCCTGCCCCTCATTATTTCCTCAAAACCGTGACCCCACTGGGACCACTGCATCCCCATGAAGGCGGCTCTGCCAATATCTGGTCTCCCTTACATCCGCCACCCCCACCGAGGCGCACCCTTCATTGTGGTCCCCTTCTACAGACAAACCTTGGGTCTGGAGTTTACCGGGCGCAGGCTGTCCGGACCACGCAGCTGCCGCACAGAGGGCGGACTTCTTTCCTAGCCGGCGGGACAGCGCAGGCGTGCCTCAGTCTTCTCGGACAGGACCCTCTTCCTCCGCGCCCGGGGCCTACCTTAGCTTTCCGAGTGGAGATAAGTCGGATAAAGGAGGCCAGTCCCCGAGCAGCCCGAGCCTCGGCGACAGAGCAAACCGGTGAGAAACCCGAGGGCTTCAGTTTGTGTTCTTAGTTGAACCAAATGACTGTCGCGCATGCCTAAGGGCCACCACAGTGTGGCAAGCTTGTCATCGCGGAACGCTGAGGTTCCGGCGGGGTTCCGACCAGACCTGAACGTACAACGTGTGTCCCGTCATCTTGCGTCGACGTAGCTGGCCTTGTGAACTACCACTCCCGGCATGCAACGAGCACGACAAAAGCGGCTGAACTCGCGCATTGCGTCGCTGAAACCTCGCGAGGCACAAGAACGGATTCGGTTCCTTTGTTCCGAGGCTCAAGTCTATTACTCTCCGCCCCTCCTCAATAGCGGTGATTGTTGAGCCTATGGACTACATTTCCCAAAATGCAACGAGCACCACAGCGCCCATTCGTTTTACACGCGCGCCGAAGGAAAGTTATAGCTGGGATCGTTAGCGTGAGAATAAGCAACGTGCATTAAGTGCACGAGCGCGCTAAAGCGTCTCGGCTGCAATTTCGAATCCACTTCCGCTCGTTAGTATTGCTACCTGAGTTTTACCATCTCTGAACTTGGGTTTCTCCATCTGTAAAATGGGGATAATAAGTAGTACAGAGTTCACAGTTGTGGGAGGTTTAAATAGGTGTCGCTCGGCACACCTGCTGGCCTTCTGTAATTATGTGTTCTCTAGATATGTTTAACTCCGACCCACAAAAGAGGACTATACAACGCGGGTCGTCATACGAGCAAATATAATTATGGAAATAATTATTTTACCATGTGTCAGGCATTGTTCTTAGGGCTCGCTCAGAAGTGTGCTGGTATATGCTAATAACAGGCTCATGGGGGACGGAGGAGAGAAGGAGGAAGCTCGATTTCTAACATTTGCTATTTCCTTGTTTTACATACTATCTTGTGAGACTTTTACATTATCAACGTGTAGTCATGGAGGACACAGGTCAGAAGAGATGCAGTAGTTTCTACCATAGAGTTAAAACGGGGGAATGACCTCAAGTGTATAGAGGATAGTGAAAAGTAGTAAAATAATTAGGAGGTGTTTTAGTTTTAGGTTTATGAGTTTGAGTGTCACCTTTTAAAAATCCAATTATAAAACAAGAAACTTTATAAACCTGTGCAAGTAAACTCCAGTGCATGGCTGAAGCCTTTCCTTTAACTCATTTAAATCCTTATAAGGGCCAGACGAGGTGGTTACTGTAATTATCCCCAGTTTACAGAAGAGGAAATGGAGGCAAGAGGAGATATATATTGGAGATATATATTATTATATTAGGCATATAATGTATGTCGTTTAATGTGCATGCAATTATATAGAAATATATATTGATCTATTTACTAGTATGTAAATTATATTAGTAGATACAATAAATATAAACACGCTATTTTATATATATATATGGGAATACATATGCATTTTGTATAGTGTATAAAACGAGTCATCTTAATATGTATGCTGCTATAAATATGTATTTGTAAAATCTATTTACTAAAGTAACTGTAGTAAGTATAAATATATGTTAAATATAGAAATATATAATGTTATGTCAGGTGGTGATAAAAGTTATGAAGAATAATAAAGTAGGCATTTTGCACAGCATGATCAGGGCATGATTCTCTGGGGGGTGGCATTTGAAATGAGACTGGAAGGGGAGCGCACCCTAGGGATATCTGGAGGAAGAGCATTCCGGGCAGAGGGACTCCAGGTGTAAAGATCTGGAAGCAGGAACAAGTTTGGCGAGTAGTCAAAGAACCGAATAAACTGATTCATCCTTCCTTAGAAATGAGAGCTTCACGCAGCAGGGATCTCTGTTGTCTTGTTCACTGCTGCCTCCCGGCGCCTAGAACGGGGCCCAGCACAGTTGGTGTTCAATACATGTTTGTGGAGCTCACCCTTTTGTTTCTTTGTTCTCTCATTCTTTCCTCAGGGCGTTCAGAGACGTGGAGAGAGCACCTCCGGGAGGAATGCCCGAGAGCCTGGGAGGCAGCAAGACCTAGTCAGCCCAGCTCGTGGGCCACGTGGGGGTGGTGGGAACACAGCTCCCTGCAGGGGTGAGCAAGTGTAAGAAAGCAAGGATTCTAGCCACCAGCTGCTGCTTCACTGAGAGGAGGGGGTGCCAGGCACTGGGGGCCCATGCTCACCCTGTGGGGCGCTTCCCATGTCCTGTTTTCTTGCTGCTCACAAAGAGGATGTTTAATTTTTCGCAAAGAAACTCGCTTCCTCCAGCAGGGCCCTGGGCTGGGGGGACGGGAGCCAGGCTCTGAACTCCACAGGCTCTTCCCGAAGTAGGGTGTCGGCCCGTAGCTCCCACCCGGCACCCCACTGAGTGTAAAGGTGTCCTCCCCTCAGCCTCTTGAAGAGGTCAGGGAGAGGGGAACTGCCCCCGCCAGCAAGGTACCGGAGGGCATCTTACCCAGCGAGGGAAATGCGAGGGTGGTCCAGGAGCAGGGGACTCGACTCCAAAAGCCTAGCTGCCCAGGGGCTGCTTTGAGGGACGGAAGTTGCTCAGTGGGGAGCCGGCATGAAAGGCGAGATTAGAATCCTGAATGCAGTCTAGTGGGGAGTTGCTTTCACAGGCGAGAAGAATTCATTAATGCCTTTTGCAAATCTGTATTGTGCAATTACTGTGTGCCAAGCTACAGGGAAGTGCTTTCCCTGTAGGAATTCATTCAGTCTTCCAAGGGAAACTCCCTACGAGTTGGGCATTATTCTGCCCTGGAAGAAGCTGAGACACAGCGTGGTTTAGGAACTCGCTTCTGACCACACAGCTACTAAAGGGCAGCGCTGGGAAAGCTCGTACTGTTAACTGCTTTGCTCTGTGGCTCCCTTCCCTGAAGGCTGCTGAGCCGTGACCTGTTTTAATGAAAAGCAGGGGTCTGCTTGGAAGAACCAGCAAGAATCCAAACTGACTTTTAATAGACGGTAGGAATCCCAAATGTCACACAAGGGTCTGCTTTACCGAGCCAACAAAAGTCTTAAGTGACCCTGAGAAAGGGCTCTACTTTGATGAACTATCAAGGCGTTCTTATCCCTGGCACAGCCTCAAGGCCTCGGTCACGCATAAGGACATCTGTTCCTTCTAAAGCAGGCTGCCCTGCAATCTATGCAGCCAGATCTCCCTTTCTCTCTGTTTTCACTCCTACCAGCATGTGTTGAGCACCTGCTGTTTTCAGTGCCTTGAAACTTAGCTGAGCTATGTATGGGGTGTAGAGCTGAATGAAGGTTCGTCCCTCCTTGGAAGAGTTCTCTTGGCAGCATTAAATATAACGATGATGGTAATATGACACTTGCTGAGTGGCACTTATTTAGCACCTGTTGCATGCCTGGTGTCTGTGTGCCTGTGCTGGACAGTGTTGGAGGGAGCAGAATGATAACAGGAGGAAGCTGCTGCTGGGAGGTGGGAGGCATCTATTTACTGTCTGGGCAACACTAGTTCTTTGGACAGGAGACTTCAGACTTTTCTTGAAATCTCCACACCTGCTTAGAACCACCCCCTTCACAATCTGGGCCAAGGCCTCTGCCGACAGGTGTCTCTTTCCCTGGCCAGCCTGTGGCACAGATGTGTAATGCCCTGGGGGAGGAGGCGGAGAAGGGAGAAAAGTCAGGGGAGTGTGTGTATGTGTGTGTGTGTGAATTCCCCGAGTGTATCTCATCTGCTTGCACATGTTCTCAGTCACAAACATGTATGTGAGCTCCACATGTTGTCTTCCCAAGTAACTCACCTTACGGCTTGGGGTCTGTTCAATTCACGTGTTTCCGTTTTGGCAAGTGTATGTGTTGCTACTGTGAGCTTGTGTATACATGCTTAGGGGCTGAGTGTGTGTGTGTGTTCCTTGGGTGTTTGTGTTTCCTTTGCGGTGCTTGTGGGTGATGAGTGTGTTTATTTGCCTTGTGTGTGTGTGTCTCTAATGTATGTGTGTCTTCTCTATCACTGTGTTTCTCGTTGGTGAGCGGCTGTAGGTCTATGTGTTTCTTTTGGTGCCACTGTACGTGTCCTATCTGGTTCCTATCTTATGTCATCTTTATGCCACTTTAGGGGAGTTTTCTGGATTTCTTCCTTGTAACTATTAAGCGTACTCCCTGCCTTTCTGGGACTCCTGTATATTTGTTCCCTGTGCATTTCTTCTCAGATTGAATGTGTGAATTGCTGTGTGTATACACAGCCATGACCAGCCACCTGTTTGAATGCAATTGTGCATGTGTCTATGACTGCAACTGTACATCCGTGTCTTCCTCTCCTTTTGGCCAGAGCTGTACATGGTCACAAGTTCACACATGAGTTCACATGCATAGAGGTATCATTGTGCTGGAGACCAGCTCCAGCTAGAAGTCGTGTCAGGAATCTCAGAAAGGAGAGGACGGTTGTGGCAGGCTGCGCCTCCCATGCTGTCTCTTGACATGGTTCGGGCATAGGAGGAGACTCCTGAGAAGCGGGGAGTTCCTGTGCTCCCCCGATGCCCGGACCATGTCAAGAGACAGCATGGTAGGCGCAGCCTGCCGCATCATTGAATCTGAATGTTGGCTTCAGGGCCATCTAAGTAGGAATGGTGTGTGGGAGACACCAGGTCCATGTGTGATGTTAGCGGTGTGAAATCCTATTTGTGTGTGTTGTGTCCAGCCATGAATCTGTGAATGGTGATGTCCATGAGTCTATAGTGTGTGGTCACTCTGTGCGCCTATGAGTGTGTGACTGTACTGTGGCCTGGGCTCTGCCTCTGCAGTCCCTGTGCTCCTATCTGTCAGCATGTTTTCGCTGTGTGTGGCTGTATGTCTACATGCAAATTTCTTTGTACTTCTGTGGGTGACAGGTGAGTCGGCCCCCATCTCTGAGCCCCTGAATGGGACTGTGATCCTGAGTGTGCAGGAGTTTCTCTCATGCTCTGGGGAAGTAAATACCTCATCCCCGCCCTCCTCCAACTGTGGGTGGGGGGGTTGGGGGCACCTAGGCTAGCTTTGAAGGCCCAGCCAGCCCCTGGCCTTTCCGGGAATTCTGTGTTCCCTGTGGGGGGTGGGCAGGCGGGTGGAGGGGCCCAGACAGAGGCTTCTTGTCCACCTGGGCCTCCAGCAGCCCAGTTTCCAAGTTTACCCTGCCTGATTCCCTGCAGGAGACACATGCCTTGCCTGGGGCAGACATACCTGTTACACGTCTACATAGGAATGGCCCGACCCCCATAAAAGACAGACAGACAGACAGTGGGGTTCCTCAATA